GATCTTCCTGGAACCTATGCTATCATGGATGTCGTTCCATGAATAACTTCCATCCAGCAGTTCGCACTGATCATCTAAAATCGCGTTCCATCTCATGGTCTGTCAAGCAATATTTCCGTCGGACATTTTCTTACGTGTACTAAACCAAAATCTACATGCTGGTTTTATGTATAATAGAAGAGTTATATTTTATGCTCTACAGATAGAGCATAATAGTTAGATAGATAAAAACACCCACACTAAAGATGACAAGTTACAAAGTAAATGCTAACGTACATTAATATCCATTACATCTATTGTTATTGTATATACTAGTAACCATATTATTTATTATTATATTTTACTGATTTATATTTTTTTAACACCTTGTATATGGTTTCAGTGCTTACAAAACGTAGTAATAAGTTTTTCAAGTTTCTTAAAGTAAACCAACACCCACGATCGACCGCCCCTACCTTTGCTGCACATATTGAAGAAAATGAATGTAAATCTATTCAAATCAACATTTTGTCTTCGTTGAGCATTTTTTTTCAATCATTGATGAATTTCTGATGTGTTAATCAATGGAAAACCAAAGCAACGTAATATGTAACTAAATAGAACAATTTTTTGAAAGAAATACATGTCTCAATAAATAATTATAAGTTAAATCGAATTGTGAAATTATTAGTTTCGCCAAACTCTTATTGTTAAACAATTTGGTACACAACAAGGTTTGTGATAGACATCTGAAACCGAAAGAAGTTACCATAGGCGCGATATTTCAGGTAACTAACACTGTCGTCAGCAGGCTCGTCCCTGGAATAATGGTAGGGCTTTCCCTTTTAATAGAAAAAGTTGAGGTTATTGGCGTGTTATCCAACAAATCACCATGGTCTGCGTTATCATCTTAATAGAATGCTTCTATTTAAGTAGGTAGAATGAAAGCTCTACATGGAGATTAATAAGAGTTCTACTCACATTCTTTGTGACTGTCGTGCTTAGATCTGGGTCAGCAGGTGACTATTAAACCGGGAGTTCCTATCCCTACCTGAAGTTAGTATATTCTTACAACCTGACATTTTCTCATTCACTGAATAGTGTGATGTGTCTTCTGTTCAGTTGTGAATATTTAGCAGCATAAAGATCAGTCATATTAGCAGTGCTGCTAGGAACCAGTATTTCGCATATTCTTAACTCTAACTGTATTATTATTAATGTGAAAACGTAAGAAATTTATTTTAATATATATTAACTTTATGAAATCTAATAATAAGATATCTATTTGATTTATAAAATCGTAATAATAATAATAATAAAAATATATTATTTCTTTTCGAAGTTGTTAAAGTTATAGTAAAATTTTATTAAATATTTTCTTTATTTTAAATTTTTAAAGTAAAGTTAAAATATATAAATTTGATTATATTATATACACAAATTAATGTATATTTGTATATTTATTTATTAACAACCACTCAAGAAATGAGATTGCTCACAGCATATGCGATTCGTGTTTGATTTTATCATTATACTTATCTAGTAAATAAATATATTTATATATATATGTACACACATATGTCATTACTATAACAACAAATATATGCAGCAAATAACATATTAAATATAAAATTTTTATTTAGTATTAATATATGTACATATATATGTAAGTATTATATATGAAAAATAATCGTTGCAATAACACCAACAAAAAGCCATCCACCCACTCACTTACTCGTTCCAGGAGCCCACAACAACTCAGTACAACAAAAATACAAATAACCACAGTCGGCAATCGACAGACATGACAACGCCGAAGGAACATTTTTGGCCAACAAAAAACTTGTCTCACCGCACCATAATCAGTCAAGACGAAAAGCTGAAAATTCTGTTTTTATATGAAAATTAAAATGCGCATATGTTTGTGAGCAAAAATTGCCAAAATAAAAAAATTAAGACAACAAATTCATGATGTTGTTGTTGTTGTTGTTGTTGTTGTTGTAGTAAAACAAGTTTTATTCGACAACAATCACACGCAACAAAACACAACAGCGAACCTGTGCTGAGTTCGCTTCGATCATTGTTTGAAGTCGGTTTGGTTTTAAAGTTGGTGGACTGATATTGTTAATACAGACAGAGTTGCCAAGTATTAATGTTTATATGTGATTATTGCTTTTTCCGAGTAAGTGCATCTGGGGACTTTTACTGTTTGATAGCTGGGGAGTTTCTGCAGAGTCCCACCCATCTCAGTGACTAATTTATGTATTCCTCATAATCTTCGTGATTATTCAATGACTGATCTAAGATCTGCGTACCGCCCGTGCGGTTAGTGATTACTCTGAAATTAGATAGTGCTAAGTAGGACAGCCTGTCGGTTTTCGCATATAGCTTCAAAGCTCTGTCATTTATATGTTTTTTGACCGGATCTATTTTTAGGGCTCTTAGCAAGTCATTCGTGCGTATGTTCACGGCACTTTGAAGAGCCTTCGGAGAGCCTGACTTTGAGCAACTTGTAGCTTCTGAATAGTAGAGTCGGCAGCTTTGCTATACACGACACACCCGAAGAGAATATTTTATATAAAGAAGACTATTCTTTCTATGAATTATGTTTTTATATTCTTCATATTTTGATATGAAAATAATGTCCATCTCTCATATATTTAATACTTCTTTTTTTTTATCAGATTTTAAGTGGATCAACTTATATCCTTTGATTTCGTTCGATTTTATTAATTTTCTCCTGATTTGATATTTAATATGATTACTTTATTTATCTCTGATAGATATTAAGCATGTGTGTCTAGTTCCTTCGTATTGAGTTCATTATTATTTCAGTTAAGTTTAATCGATTATAGTACATACATAAATATCTTTCTTAAGTTCGAAATTTCTTCTTTATGTATCTTATGTATTGTTATGTAAAATCTTTACATTTCTTTATTTATTTAAAAAAAAATTTTAATTAAAGTCCTCAAAATATCCGTATGTTATCCTTATTGAAGTTGAATATTTTTTCTTCAAACGATTTCTTTACGTTTAAAAATGAGAAGTAGCAACTATATCTGATCAGTATGCTGAATAAAGCATACTAGCCGAATTTAAAAAGACTATTCACACATGGCACCGAGTATTGTCTTCTTGAGAGCTCTTCTCTTTTGGTAAAACAGTTTATTTTTT